TTTCCCAGCTGGTTCACACGCCCCCAGACAGGAAACAAAGCCTCTGGGTTTAAAAGGCTCTGAGGTACAGCCGGGGCAGGGAGGGGTTGGTGGAAGCTCTGGTTTCTAAGTTTAATAAACGATCTGTATTACACATTTCATTGTTTGTTCCTGCCTACCTCTTTTTTTAAAAAAACATTTGATAATTGACTCAAGACTCATTTTTCCCTAGATGCATCCAAACGTCTGTTTGCAGCGCCGTGACTGGAGGCCTCAGCAGGGCTAGCCTCTCTGGACACACAGCTAGCTAGCTGCAGGGCTCAGCGTCTGAGGGACTGGAACCCAGGCCTTCAACTGGGCCTGGGAATGAGGACCTGGAAGTGGTGGGTAAATTGTGTTGGGTATGGTGGCACATGCATTCATCTCAAGCTAGAGGGATGCACAGGTAGAAGTAATCAACCAGAGACCCTATCTAAAAACTCCCTAATGCAAAAAGGGCATGGTTCAAAGGAGGCCTCACAAATACAAAGCCCTGAGTTCAAATCTTACAATGGTCAAAAAGAAAAAAAAAATAATTCCTAGGAGGAAACAATCTTGTGGTCATTGGTTAGAATACAGCATGCTCTCTTTGGCCTCTAGAGAGGAAATCATTGAGGTTCGGTAGCACTGTGGAGGACTAAGTGAAATTCCATCAGTCAGACTCGGGGACTCATGCTCCGGTAGGTACCCACCAGAGAGGGGACGCATTTAGTCCACACTTACAGTTTTCTTTCAGTCTCTGCTTGGAGATTTCTAGTACACTCTGGGAAAGCACTAGCCTGTATGGCCATCTACAAGTCTGTGAGCTCTCCCTGACCTCCAGAGGTCAAGGAGGATGAAGGTCATAGAGCTCAGACACACTCTGTAAGGAAGGAGTGGGAAGAGATAGGAATGTTCTATCACCTCCATTAGACCATGGGTTTACAGCTGGGTCACAGGCCAGAGAGAGCATTAAGGGACACTTCCCTGTTGACCACCCTTCATGCTTGAATGGTTCTGAATATATAGATCCAAACTGGATGCTGTCAATCAAATGCCTTAACTCTTGATTAACTAATGAATTAACCCTTGATTAACCCTTCTAGCTTAGTTGAAGAGTATCACAACTTTCGTGCCTGGGCTGGAATCTAACTGTGATCCTCAGATCTCAGCCTCCAGCATAGCTAGGATTATAGGCATGAGCCACTGGCACCTGGCTTCCAATTAATTCTTGATACATGGTGGGTAGATGGTCATGGAGTTGTGGGCATGTCATTAGAGACCATCTGCGGGGTGAATATTAAATTAGTCACCTTTCTCCTGGGGTTACATTACTCAGCCTTCTATGACACCACTTAACTACAGGTCCGCCAAAGCTACGTCACTTCTTGTCCACAACAATTTTGAATGGGGCTATGTCTTTAGTCAACAAAAAATGATTCCAATGACTTAAACAACCAACACAGGCATTCCATGAGGTATTTTGGAGAAAGTCCTCAGCAACCCACAAACATCCTCTGGAGGGGCGGGGAGGGGGGACTCCCCATCAGGCCAGGTCTGTAATGACCTCCTTTCAATAGACACTCAAGGCAGGTCCCAGGGGATGGCCCTGCCGCTGGAAGCTCCTTCTGTGTCTGTATCAGGAAGCCCTATCTTGGCTCCTGGTCCCCTGCCTGTATGGCAGGGGAAAAAAAGAGGAGCTTCTGGAAACAGAGCTTCTAGGAAAACATGAAGTGTGTAGAGGTCACTCAGCCCTCCAAACCAGATCTGTGCCCCAGCAGCTCACTGGGTTGTTGGGAACACACAACGACCCTGTGGTGTCAGAAAATGAATAGGTGCACAAGAGACAGCGGAGGTTTGGTTGAGGCATGCACAGAAGGGTGGTCTGCCACTCTCCCCAGGGCGAGGCAGACAGGCAGACACACGGGGTGGCATGGTCTGCTCGGTTTTTATCCTAAACTAAAGGGGGTGAGGTCATCCCTTCTTGCTGCTAAGAAGTCAGGTCACAATTTTCTACAACTTGTTACCAGGATGATGAGGTAACACAAGGACCTTAGGAACATCAGTAAAAGGACCCTCCTGGGGGAGGTAGGGAGAAGCTGTTCTTTTGGAGGCAAAGATGCACTTTCTTCTCAACATGACTGGCTGAAAACTGGCATCTATTCGTTAACTCCTGTGACAAAGATTTATATACCTGACATGACTGGCTCATCACAATCCACACAGATAGTTACAATTGAAGTCAAGAAGCAACTCATTCCAGGAAAGATCCGTACCAGGAACCATCAGTATCCAGTGGTGACTGGTTACAAGATGGAGACATTTTAGTTTGATGGGAAAGACTGCTTCTTCTTCAAGGTTACTGTAAATTCATTAGGACCTGTCCATGTGGCCTTGGTGTGAGCCTCCAGCCTTCCCGGGGCACAGGTCACATCTTCCCAGGCCTAAGGGCCATGCTTCCTTTCTAACTGCTGTCCCAGACCATGGTATGTACAACTGGCCCTCAAAAGTGCTCAGGGTAAAGGCAAGTGCCTCTCTTTCATATTAGGAACTCAGTCCTTGCAAGAACAAGGAAGTTTGCACAAAAGCTGGGCACTGGTGGCTCATGCCTATAATCCTAGCTACTCAGGAAGCTGAGATCTGAGAACTGACGTTCAAAGCCAGTCTGGGCAGGAAAATCAATGAGACTCTTATCTCCAATTAGCCACCAGAAATCCGGAAATGGTGCTGTAGCTCAAAGTTATAGAGCTCTAGCCTGAACAAAAGAGCTCAGGACAGTGCCTAGGCCATGAGTTCAAGCCTATCACAGACAAAAATAAAAAATAAAAAGAAGAAAGAAAGTTCTCACAAACTTCTTTTCAGACTGTCTAGGCCTTTTCTACTCCCTTGAGGCTCTGCATGTGATGGGGCCTATCTTCATTTCTATTCAGTTGCTAAGCACTGAAACTGGTTCAGAGTAGATGCTCAAGAAGTAGCCTTTGTCAGAAATATTTTGTTTTTCTAGTGGTAGATGAATCTTCATCTATTTTTCAACTCTAAAGGTACTGGCATTTAGCCTATCTTCCTTTAACTAGTAACACCTTTCTTATGCCAAGGATCCTGGCGCTCCACAAGGATTATCCTGAAGACCATTGTCCATGCGCTTGCTGAGTGTCCTCTTAGGCAGGTGACACTGTGGAGGGAGGACTTGCTATTTCTTACCACTGTTCAGTCTAATATTTATTTCTGGGAGAAAAATGATTTCTCGGAAGAGGAAAGTCTAGGAGTTGGAGATAGTGTCTCCACGAAGTATCTAGAATTGCTTATCTCTTGGATATGATGATGATTAAGATGTAGGCCCTGCCTTCCAGAACCTTCCTTCTCATCTCATCGGAGAGATGAGACATGCGCAGATAGATGTTAGTAAGTATTCCATATAAGGCTGTGACAAGTAGTTATGGCATGGTCTGGGAAATTGGACCACACCAGCCAGCCCCCCTCTCCCCACGCCATCAGCTCCACAGTGAAGCAAAGCTATCGTCAGCAATACCCAGTTACTAAGGAAGGGAGGAAGGTGGTGCCAGGCCTAACTAGGAAGTGATGGGCGGCCATTTCTGCTGGGTCTTCAACAATCACAAGAGGTGACTGTGTTACCACGAATGTGGCTCCCCTGGAGGCTGTGGCCGAGAAGTAAGGCCTCATTCCTCCAGCTGGAGGATGGTCTCCTTCCCATGCTCCTGGAGGGCTGGACCAGTCCCCAGTGTGCATGCTTTGTTCTGGGGACTCTGGAGACTGCGGTGGACCCCAGTCTGGAAAGAATGTTCTCTGGGGCTCCAAACCATCTGGGATGGTTTCACCTTTTTTTTTTTTTTTTTTTAAATCCAGGTAATAGCTGGGCGTCAGGGCTCACACCTATAATCCTAGCTACTCAGGAAGCTGAGATCTGAGGATCACAGTTCAAACCCAGCTCAGGCAGGAAAGTCTGTGAGACTCTTATCGCCAATAAACCACTCAGAAAACTGGAAGTGGCACTGTGGTTCAAGTGATAGAGCGCTCACCTTGAGCTGAAGGGCTGAGGGACAGCGCCCAGGCCCAGAGTTCAAGCCCCATGACCACCACCACCACTACCAACAAAATCCAGGTAATTCCCCTAGGAGGTCAAGGAGAAGACCCCAGTATCTGCATTTGTAAGATGACTACGGTCTCTAGCTGGACTTAGGGACAATTTCCCAGGAGCTGTCAGAATCCCACAGGGCCCCCAGTGACCTCTGCCTTGAGGAATAATGGTATATCATTTCCAAGGTGAAGTTATGAGCGACTGATGGCTTGTACCTGGGGCTGCCTCTCTCGTTCTCCTGTGGATCACTCACTCGGTGTCTCAAGGACCCTCACAGCCTGTGCAGAGACCATGGAGAGAGGGACAGAGGGCTCTAGCCTACTCTACAAGAAGCCTGGCCTGACAAGAACACGAGTCAGCTCCCAGTAATCACCACCACGGCTGACAGGCTGCCTGCATCTTCATGAGAGAGTCTGAGCAGATCAAACAGTTCAGCTGTCCCAGCTTCCTGACCCTGGGAAACAGTGTGAGATGGTAATAATAACGTTGGCGTGTTATGTCATAAAACTGGGATCAAGTTGTTACACAACAACTCATGATGAATACATTTTCCTAGCTTAACGGACAAGCATCTTACCAGGTACCAGTGGCTCACAACTGTAATCCTAGCTACTCAGGGGGCTGAGATCTGAGGATCAAGGTTTGAGGCCAGCTCAGCCAGGAAAATCCATGAGACTCTTATCTCCAACTAACCACCAAAAGGACAGAAGTGGAGCTGTGTCTCAAGTGGTAGCGTGCCAGCCTGGGAGAAAAGAGCTAAGGGACAGCAGCCAGCATACCCTACATATACAAGTGCTACATGGAAGAAGACAAATTTTCACATAAAGAAAGGGAGGGGGTGTTGATTTTAGCTTGGCGGCCGAGCACCTGCATAGCCGGCACAAACAGAAAAGAGCGCCTGACTTGCCTCTATCTGGTTGATCAACGAATTGTCGAATTTGAAGCCAGGAATCCTTTTGTCACTGCATACCACGCCGACGTCTTCTGAGTGCTTGCAGTCGGTGACGCCCCAGCCGTTGGAGGTGCAGGCTGCCAGGGTTGCCTCTTTCCCGGAGCAGTGGACGTTGTCTAGCCAGATGGGCCCTGAAGGGAGCGGAGGAAGGTCAGTGCAGCTCAGGTGTTGCGGACACCCGAGTTTTACATGGAAAGTGAATTTCCTTCTACCTTTGGCAGACACAGGTGGCCATCGATGGAAAACATGGCCTCTAGACCTGAACTGCCAGATTCCCCTGCCAGAGCTTATGCGATTGGGGAAGGAGGTCGACAGAGCGCATTGAAGACAGGAATCAGATTTACACCCGGAAGTCGTGTGGTGCAGTAGAAAGAGTCGGGACCTTGGAGTATAAGCTGTAGTTAAATCTAGGTCAACCACTTTTTATTCTCGTGACTTTGGTGACAGCCCCTTTCCCACCAGTGAAGTGACCCTTTGACCTGCAGAGGTGGGTACTGTGGAGAAATAGCACACGGCAGGTGCTTAGTCTTCTTGCTGGCCCTTAGGCGGCCAAAAGTGGTAGCAATGAGGAGGTGAACTCAAGGAAATGCGAAGCTTTTCCTGAGGGTTTGCAGGTCTTAGGACCCACAGCGTTTACCCTCTCTTTCTTTAGTCTACCAATGACTGATTCTACTATGCAAGGGGGATGGGGGGAGCAGATAGAAACACTCCCACGATAGAAGCTAGAAAACTGAAGCAGGAAGCTAAGGCTCTTACAGGTCAGAGAGGCCCCTGGGTCCATCTCCTGCCTTGCAGGCCTGCCTAGGTCGTGTCTGCGCTGATTGCTGACTGGTTGGGGCTCAAAGGAGAGTATCTCAGAGCATTGTGGGAACAAAGAGTTGATTGAAAACATCTGGGCTGAGGTTTTGCAACTGGTTTCTCAATCTGGGCAGGTTTCCAAGTCGTCAGGCTTCCCTGCAACACAAGCTCCCAAATCGATAGCTGGTTTCTACAACAAGCCCGTGTTTGTCTGGCTAAGTACTAGCAACAGAAGAGACCTCCACCTCCCCAGCAGGGCCTCTCCCTCCGCACCGTCTGCAGCTGAGCTGCTGGAGGGCAGATGGGGGAAAGAAGCTGTTCCCTCAGTCCATCTACTCTGCTCCAGTGCCAGAAGGAGGTTAGCTAGGGAACGGGAAGCAGGTCAGTGAACCTTTAAAGGGACTGCAGAGATGCTGCATGCCAGTAATCCTAACGACTCAGGAAGTTGAGATCTGAAGCCCCTGGTTCACAGCCAGCCTAGGCAGGAATATCCCTGAAGTTCTATATCCAGTTAACCACCAAAAAGCCTGAAGTGGAGGTATGGCTCAAGTAATAGAGCATCTGCATTGAGCAAAAAAGCTAAGGGACAGTTTCCCCCTAGCCCTGAGTTCAAGGACCAACAACACTGGCACCAAAAGTGACAATAAAAGGGGGAGGGGGAAGGGACTGTGCAAAGCTATAAAACATAGATGCTCTGGGAGGTGGGCTTTACTTCTTGGTAAGAAGTGTGTGAAGTTAGGGTCCTGGAGTACTAAAGGAGTCACTCTCCTTCAATGGCTTCCACCGCCAATAATCCTTTTTTTTACATATGCTCCAGCCAATAGGTGGTGGATATGAAATTTGTACTTAGTTCAAGATATCACTGGCCTGGGACACTTTGGACCTCTCTTTGTACTAATACTTTGTCTTTTCTTTTCGGCTGTGGGGTTGAATTCAAGGCCTGGTTGCTATCCTTGAGCTCTTTTATTCAAGGCTAGCACCTTACCACTTTGATCCATAGCTCAAAGTAGTTCATTGGAGTTGAGTCTCATGGACTTTGCTTCCCGGGCTGGCTTTGAACTACAATCCTCAGATCTCAGCCTCCCGAGTAGCTAGGATTACAGGCTTGAGCCACCAGTGCTTGGCTGCTTTGTCTTTTCCTTACATGCTTAGTACCCAGATTTCTAAGCAGCCATCTTCCAGGTCTGCCCATGAGGATGCGGCATGGGTCCAGGCAGCGAGATGCAGCTGGCTTTGAGGAGAGCAGCACTCAGGGCACAAGATGAGGCTCACGTTGAGACAAAAGCAGCCATTCAATAGGAGCAAGATTTAATTTTATTCTTTTCACTGACTTGCTCTAAGATTAATGCCTGCGCTGACAAACTAAGAGTGTGTGAGCAAATTAACAGACCTCTTGGAAGAGAAAGATCAGAGATGAAACTCCACTTGAATGTCAAGTCCTTGGCCCATCAAGGCTATGGAGGCTGTTCAAGATTAAGAATAGGGGACAGCGGGGTGTAGAGCCATCTTGGATCCAATGGCTGTAAAAGTCAGAAGGTGGGAAAGACCTGCTCCCTCTGGAACTTTCCTAGTATATGTGTGTGTTTATGTGGTGTGTGTGTGTGTGTGTGTGTATGTGCACCCACATGTATGCATGAACTTGCTGGGACTTGAACTCAGGGCCTTTCTCTAAGCTCTTACAACTCTTTCTTTTTAGATACACTGATTTGAATCTAACAAGGGTGGAAAGAAGAAGCCAATCAAAGGTGAGGAAGTTGAAGCAGCTCTGTTCCTGAGAATATGTTAGTGTTAAAATAGCGAATCAGCCAGGCACCAGTGGCTCACACCTCTAATCCTAGCTACTCAGGATGCTGACATCTGAGGACTGCAGTTCAAGGCCAGGCCAGGCAGGAAAGCCCATGAGATTCTTATCTGCAAGTAACCACCAAAAAGCCAGAAGTGGAGTTGCCAGTAGTAGAGTGCTAATCTTGAGCAAAAGAAACTCAGAGATAGCACCCACACCTTGAATTCAAGCCCCAGGATTAGCCCACAAAAAAGCTCCCCTCACGCCACCCCCCCAAAAAAAACCCCAATGAATTCCAGTGAAATCCAGCTGGCACCGTTGTCTCATGCCTGTAATCTTAGTTACTCAAGAGGCTGAGTTCTGAGGATTGGGGTTCAAAGCCAGCCAAGGAAAGACACATCTGTCAAGCTCTTATCTCCAATTAATCAGCCTAACGCTGGAAGTGGAAGAATGGCTCAGTGGTAGAGCACCGGTCTTCAGCAAAAGGGCCAAGCAAGAATGCGAGGCCCTGAGTTCAAGGCCTGGTACTGGCACAACACAACAAAACCAAACCCAATGACATCCACACGGGTAGAACAGCAGCCTGTGGGCGCTCTGGTGAGCGGGAGGAAGATGTTCAGCCTTGGGGATCTGGCCTAAGGCACGACTTCCCCTGGGATGCTGGCACAGCCCTTGGCCAGGATATGTGGCTTGGAAACATAGATTCCCCTGCGTGGGGTCACCAGTCATCCTGGCTTCCTGAGAACTTCACCCCAGCAGGTCCTGGAAGGGTCAGGATGATGTGCTTTCTCTACCTCTGCCAGGGGCCTCCCCTCCCCATTCCTCCATGGCTCAGGAATGTATTCCGACAGCCATGACAGCTTCCTTTGTAGCCTAACCTGCCCAAGACCACACTTGGTCCTAAACCGAAACTTGAACACAGAGCCATGTACCTTCTCCTTTGCCATAGGAGGAGCTGGCCGTCCATGACTTGGCCTCCACGTAGCCCAGCTCCCGGCAGATGACGTGGGCGGCGTGGATGGAGAAGTCATCGTCGCACACGGTCCCCCACTGGCCCTCATAGTAGACCTCCACGCGGCCCTCGTTGTGTTTCCTCTTCTGGCCTGCCAGGCGCACCTGGATCTTGACCACGTCGGAGGGCACCTGGGGCTGGTGGTACTCCTCAGGGGCCGGTTGCTGGAAGTACTCGGGGTACTGGAACTGGTAAGGCCAGCTCTCGTACTGTCCTAGGCTCAGGAAGGGCAGGAGGGTGAGCACAGCCAAGCAGACGCAGAGGTGGGGGCCCGGATGCTTCTCCATCCCTGTCCTGTGGCCGGAGCAGGGGGGGGGACAAGGCAGGAGAAGCAGCAGGCACGTCCTGAGAGGAAGGAGAGGGTCATTAGGGAAGGATTTGGGCCACAGACCCTGGCAACATGCTCAGCCACCTCGCCCTCCTTGGCTTAGCATGGAAAGTTCTTCTAGATCTATGTTCCTGTCCATCTCCCTTCCTACCTAACCTTCTGGTCCCATGAGTCTCTGTGTTCCCAAACCTCTTGGCCACCAATTTCCTTAAAAGAGATCCTAGCAGGGAACACAGCACTCCAACTCAACTTTAGCAAGCCCCCCCCCTCTTTTTCTCTTCCCTCCCTCCCTCTCCATATCAAATAGATATATTCATTTAATACCTGCTCCTGAGCAGGAGAACTTCTGGCCAATGGTCTAGTTCCATGAGCCACAAGACATCAGTGAACACTCAGGATTGAAAGTCCCAGTCAAGGTGACCTGACTTGAATCAGGGAGATTTTGCGTCTTCTACAGTGTTTCCTCTTCCCTCTGAAGAACTGGTGTGTGTGTGTGTGTGTGTGTGTGTGTGTGTGTGTGTTGGTCCTGGGGTTTGAACTCAGGGTCTGGGGACTGTCCCTGAGCTTCTTTTGCTCAAGGCTAGTGCCCTACCTCTTGAGCCACAGCTCTATTACTAGCTTTTATTTTTTTTTGTAGTTTATTGGAGAAAAGAATCTTGTGGGGTTTTTTCTGCCTGAGTTGGCTTTGAACAGTGATCCTCATATCTCAGCCTTCTGAGTAGCTAGGATTATAGGCATAAGCCATTAGTGCCTGTTTCCATCCCCCCCCCCGCTTTTTTTTTTTTGAGAAAGGCTTGCTATATAGCTTAGGCCAGCCTTGAACTTGCAAACTTCCTGCATCCACCCTCCAAGAGCTGAGATTACTGTCCAGAGTTCTACATTGCCCCTTTATCCTTTGCTTTATTTTCAGATTAAAGACAGAATGCTCATAAATTGCCAAGTCAAGCTGGGCGCCGGTGGCTCACACCTGCAATCCTAGCTACTCAGGAGGCTGAGATCTGAGGATCATGGTTCAAAGCCAGCCTGGGCAGGAAAGTGTGTGAGACTCTTATCTCCAATAAACCACTAGAAAACCGGAAGTGGCGCTGTGGCTCAAGCGGTAGGGCACTCGACTTGAGCTGAAGAGTGTAGGGACAGCGCCCAAGCCCAGAGTTCAAGCCCCATGACCGACAAAAAATAAAAAATAAATAAAAAATTGCCAAGTCAAACAGAATAGTTTATAACCACTAACATCATAAGACATCCCCTCTGATCAACAGGGATGCCGTCCTATGCACAGCTTCAGTTACACGGGGTGAACCTGAAAATTTCTAGAAAGAAACAATTTCTGTTTGGGATTGTGCAGCAATTCTATGATGAAATTGTGTGCTCCTGTCTCAGGCAGCAAGCTCTGCCTTCAGCACCTGTAAGTGACTCGTACCTTTGTCTCTCCTGCCCCGTGTTGGGCTCTATCAAGGGCATGGCCATTAGTTACTTAGTTTGATATTGCGTATCACCTAGCTTATCACTGATAGGTTCTCCTTTTCCTGTCCAAATAACCATTATTTTACATAATCTTGGCCCCAGAGCACACCAATAGCAATGCAGTAATTCAGGTACAGTATGGAAAGGGGAATTTTTTTTAAAATATAAGATACTCATTACTTTTCTTAAACTTCTTTTGGCAGTATGGGGGTCTGAACTCAGGTTTTTGTCCTTGCTAGGCAGGTACTCTACTTATTCAGTGATGCTGCCAGTCCTTGTTCTTCAATACAATGATAATAATAATAATAATAATAATTGTCATAAGCTGAGGTTGCCAAAAATCTAGTGTATGTGTTGAGGGGTGGGGAGAATGTAATATACCAGACTCAAATGAGGATCGTGGTTCAATGTAATATACCAGACTCAAATGAGGATCGTGGTTCAAAGCCAGCCCGGACAGAAAAGTCCATGAGACTCATCTCTAATTAGCCACCTAAAAACCAGAAGTGAAGGTGTGGCTCCAGGTGGTAGAGCACTAGCCTTGAGCAACAAAGCTCAGAGACAGCTCCCAGGAACTGAGTTCAAGCCCCATGATGGATGGATGGATGGATGGATGGATGGATGGATGGATGGATGGAGGGACGGCAGACACACAGGGACACACACACACACACACACACATACACACACATAGCCTCAATGATTCCTCACCCCTACCTCTACTTTATTGTAAACGTTACACAAGTTGTTAATAAAAATCAGAAAAAATCGCAAACTGGTAAAAGGAAGGAAGTATTTTGTAATAATACTCTTGGGGAAAACTACTATCAAATTTAGCATTTGGAGGCTTATCGAATAGTCTTCCAGTCTTTTCTCTGTACACATTTACTTTTAAAAATGGGAGTCATTTTCTACAGATTGTTTCATAAACTGCTTTTGCTGTTGGAGGGAATATTGAAAATACATCCACTAACCATTCTTTAATCATTTCTAATTATACAACATTTGGTCAGATGATTTATCCAAATCACATTTTTTTTGTTCCAATACTAGGGCTTGAACTCAGGCCCTGGTGATCTCAGTTGACCTTTTCATTCAAGGCTGGTACTCTACTTCTTGAGCTACAGTTCTGCTTCTGACTTTTTGTTAGTTAATTGAAGATTAAGAGTTACAGGGACTTTTCTACCCTAGCTGGCTTTGTACTTCAATCCTCAGGTCTCCCAAGTTGCTGGTATTACAGGCATGAGCCACCAGTACCAGGTTGGTCACAATCACCTTTCTACATCTTTCACAGCTGTACACATTGTAAAAGTGGAAATATTTGTTACTGAAAGTGTGAGTCATCTTCAGATAAATTCCTAAAAATAAAATGACCAAGCGGTATTTTATCTTAACTACTATGACTCTGGTTACCAGAAAAAATCAGAGCATTTCTGTGGCCCATATTGCTGGCTTTGGGGATGTCTTCATGCCCTTTTCTACTTGTTCTTATTGTTTTTGTAAGATTTTTTTTTTTTTTTGGTCGTTGTGGGGCTTGAACTCTGGGCGCTGTCCCTGTGCTCTTCAGCTCAAGGCAAGTGCTCTACCGCTTGAGCCACAGCGCCACTTCTGGTTTTCTACTGGTTTATTGGAGATAAGGGTCTCATGGATGTTCCTGCCTGGGCTGGCTTTGAACGGCAATCCTCAGATCTCAGCCTCCTGAGGAGCTAGGATTACAGGCGTGAACCACCGGCGCCTGGCTGTTTTTGTAAGATTTTTATTTCCGTACTGGCATCTATCCAAACCCACAGGAGGAAAAGTCTTCCAGGCATACCAGGGGGCTTTGGGTGTGGCCTGTGCACACTGGGCCCGCCACTCCCACCAGAAGTACTCCAGGTCTCCAGCCTTTTCTGATGCCTGAACACAGTAGACTGGGAGTGAATGTTTCCTGTTGTCCTTTCTGGCCAGCTGAGGACATCTGGAAGATGCCTCTGTCTTTTCCATAACCTAATCTGCCCGTCCTTGGTCAGAGATTTTTATTTCACGAAAGAAATTGATAGCTGGGTGCCTGTGGCTCACGCCTGTAATCTTAGGCATTCAGGAGGCTGAGCCCTGAAGACTGAAGTTCAAAGACAGCCTGGAGCAGAAAAGTCCCCGAGACTCTTACCACCAATTAAGCAGCAAAAAGCTAGCAGTGAAGCTAAAGGGGACAGCACCTTGGCTCTGAGTTCAAGTCTCTGTATTGGCACAAAAAAGCAAGCAAGCAAGCAAGCAAGCAAGCAAGCAAGCAAGCAAGCAAGCAAGCAAGCAAGCAAGAAAGAAAGAAAGAAAGAAAGAAAGAAAGAGAAGACCTAGTTAGAGACACAAATCTGTGCCTTAGTCCCGAGAGTGGTTAGATATAAGAGGATGGATTCTCTGTTCCAGTGAAGTTGCATCACCCCAGGACATGGAATTCCAGAACCTTGAGTGCAAGCAACGGAGTCTGCCAACTGGATCAGCAGAACACAGGGGACGAAGGCAGAGAATCTGGTACACACACACACACATACACACACACACACACACACAGCCAGACTGAACTTTTTCCTAGGCCTGGATGTGTGTGGGGAGGAGGGTAAAGGGGCGGGGATTTGTCTCACAAGAAGAAGCCCACCTAGGAGAATATTCCACGGAAACATCCCCACCCAGGGAGGCCTGAGCACTTCCGGGCTGGACAATACCAGGGCCCACACCCTAGGGACAGAGGTAGCTGACAGATGGGTAAAATCAAAGGATTGCCAAGGAGCTGGCTAGGACTAGCACAGATCAGAAAGGGCTTAATGTGTCTCCAATGTGTTTTCTCACCAGGCTGGTTTGTGACTAGGCGGTTGCCCACATTCTTTCATTCAGGTCAATCTGTTTGAGGACACAGTGGTCCCATGATTTAGGCCTGTTGCAGCTGAAGTGGGGCAAGCTGAAGCTAATGAACACCCCAATGGGGTGGGAGAGACTCGTCCATGTAGCTAGGACTTGCTGCCCGTTGGTACATCTTTCCTCCACGAATTGCAGGGGGGCTGGCTACCTATCCATTGACAGGAGTGCCATGGACTGGGGCTTCTCTAGTCATGTGGCACAGAGATCGAATCTCATTTCAACCACTGATTAGCTCAGGGACCTCAGGAGCACTTTGGTTTTCTAAGTCTTAGTATTTCATCTATAAAACAGCAACAATCTATGCTTAAAAACAACTGCTTCAGGGAAAAATAAGAAATATTTACTTGTTCGAACTGTTGTAAAAAGTTTGAGCCAGGTGCCGGTGGCTCACGCCTGTAATCTGCCTATTCAGGAGGCTGAGATCTGTGGATCGAGGCCTGAAGTCAGCTCAGGAAGGAAAAGCTGTGAGACTTAACTCCAATGAACAACTAAAAAGCTAGAGGTAGAACGGTGGCTGAAGTGGTAGAGCGCTACTGCCTTGAGGGGAAAAGCTCAGGGACAGCACCCAGATCCTGAGTGCAAGCCTCAGTAATAGCATAAAAAGAAATAAAACATCTCAGCTGTCATCAAACAGTTAAACTGCCTTACCCACAATGGTGTC